CAGAAGAGAGCATGAGACTGAGCACTGGGGGACAGCATTTCAATTCTTTAGTGCTAATGAATGAGGATACAGTTGTCTCCGAGAGACTATTTTAAAGGACAAGTGATGAGAACTGGATACTATCTATTTATTCCCACATATCTAGGAAGGAAACTTTTTCACATAGTGGATAAATATTTAAATATTTTTCAGATATAACCTACCCTCCTAAATGGCATGGAAATCTGTCACAAGGTCTTGGCATAACTCAGTTGGCAGCAACTGTTGTTCTTCCTAAGCAGCAGCATTGGCACATGAAGGAGTGACAGAGGCATACTCTAAGTATGGAAAGCTGTCTTCTCGATAGCAACAGGAGACCATTTTCAGATCTGAAACTCTATATTCTGTAGCAAACAAACAAAAATATGCGGAAGGATCCTGATTCTTGGAATATGCATTTTCCCACCAAGCCTATTTATAAAACTGCCTGATAAAAAAGCATATAGAAGAAATGACTACAACTCAGAATATCTGGGTTGTATTCTCAGCTCAGTTTGCCCTTGAGTGAGCCACATTACAAAAAAAAAAAAAAAAAAAAAATCCACCGAGGAAGCCTTTATACCTCAGTTTCCCCACATCTACCAAAATAGTAAATAAATAGGAGTGATCTCATTTGTGCCTGGAAAGTACGTTGAGATGATTTTGTGGAAGATGCTAACGAAGTGTCATACATTATTATTGCATCAGGCTGGCTGTACTTCTGAAATCCATCTGACATTTCCCACTTGACACGGACTGTGGGTGGTAACATTTCTGTATTAATTTTAAAGAGGATGCATTATAGCACTGCCTGATGTATAATCACATGGTTTATGATTAAAACGTTTTCTAAGAAGGGCAGTAACCTGTGAGATCCTCTCTCTTTTTCACTTCGTTAAACTACCGCGTTACGAAGTGTATTGTTTCATTAAGGATCCTGCCAAGCAGCTCTGCTGTGCTCCTTATAGCTACGTGTGAAGCATGGAGGTGAAGTTCATAACTATATTTGGGTATCAGAGTTTATTTCCTCTACTCTCTTGAAGGTTAGCATGACGAGCGGCTGAGGAATGCTAGGGGAAACCGTTGTTAACATGAGCAGGCTGTGCCCGAGCTCGGATTGCCCCCCTGAATCCTGTTTCGTGTTGCAAGCAGTTAAATCACCAGGCGCCGGGACGGGGCTCGGACCACACAAACACAGGATCGGGTCTGTTCCGTTATCGTGTGGCTGAGACTGGTCCTCTGCATCGCAGATAACGGCGGCTCTCCCGTATGTTGTCAGCGGTCGGAGCCTAGCGTTGAAGTCGAATACTCCCCAGTCAGACGTGCCTGTAACGCAGGGTGGTAGGAGAGGAAGCTTGGAGAGGAAATGAGTAAGTCAGCAGCCCGGCCCAGTGCGTAGCTGTACGGCAGGGTTACTGGAGCAAGCTGTGGAGCGGGGAGGAAGTGTTGCAACGACTAACCCCCCTGTGTGTGTTCTTCTCTGAAACAGCCTCATCATAGAAAAATCAAAGATAAGAGGACTTTTGGGAAACATTACTGCACAATTAGTGCAAGACAGAATGATCTATTGCTAGTTCTGAAAAGAGGGGGAGCATGCACAGCTCCTCCTTAGAGGTGCCTAGCACCCAATGAAAGGGGAGCACCCATAAAAAGCAGACTGGTGCATGAAGTTACTGATTTTTTTATCTTCTGTTCTGCATGACTTTTCTGTCCTTTGCAAACTGAGTATTGTCAATGATGATGCACACTGGAGCTTTATGTTTTCCCAAGGAGTTTAAGATAAAATTTCGAAGAGGTGCATAGTTACATTGATACTTAAAAACTGTGGAGAGGATTCTCTGTTTCCCATGATATTTGCATCAGAGAATTTAATGTAAAAAGAATATAGAGGCATGTGTACATTCTTATAATTTCATGTGTATGTCTATATGCTTCGTATTTTTTACAACTGACTCCTGAGCAGTTGGGTCCCTGGAAGAATGAGATGAATGAGAAGGGCATCCTGTGGGGATGGGGGGAAAACAGAAGCGAGTGGTGATCCCTATGGAAAGAGAGGAAATTAAATGTGACATTCCACTGCCAACTGGGTGTTGGTTTGCTATATTCTCTCTGTCAACCACTCTTTGCCTTTTTGATTTTTTAAGAATACTTCTGAAGTGAAAAAACTCCTCTTTTACCACTGACTCCTCCCAGTATTTTATTTCTACCATTGCATGACTATCAAAATACTGACCATCAGTAAAGTTTTGGTATGATGTGGATTATCAACCTTTGTTTACACAACACCGATTACATTCTTTATGCTTGTCACTTTTAAATTAATGAGAAAAGAAAATTATGAAGGGGGTGGATGGGTGGGTGAAGTCCATTCTTTGAATACTAGATAACTGCAAAGCAGCTGCTAGAATGAAATTTCCCTGGCTGCTTAGTGAGAGGATCGTTCAAATTGTAGTCAAAATTAGGGTTGGTACACCAGATTATGTGTGGGTGTCGCAAATGAAAAAGGAAATGCTTGGTAAAGTATTTTTGTTTGTAATATGAAGCTAACCTAAAATAATATTAGTGGGTATTAAATTCTGTATGTTCCAGTGGATCAGTTTCATTGGAATACAGAAAATAGTTCTGTTTATAGTAATAGCTCAGCCAATATATCTGAGACATTACTTTAGAAGAATGACTGAAGTTGAAATACTAGTAGTAGGGAATACATGATGCTATGTGTGTGGTATGTGTCTTTTATCATCATGATTTCATATTGTTCTAAATATGTGTTCATACAATCTTTAGAGACGCCACATTAGCATTCGTTATATATGGTTATACAGTTGAAGAAACACTTTCTTAGCTACAGTTGGCTTTAAAAAACATTTTAATGGAGCCTTTCATGTCACTCACCTGTTATAGAGAAAAAAGAATATCAGTCAGTGAAAACACAGGTGACTGAAGCAGACTTCTGGGTGCAGCAGGGAAATTGAGGGCCCCATCTAACAGCAGCATCCTTTGGCTATGGGAGAGCTGAATCTGCCTCCACAGTTTCATTCTGTGGAGTTATCTAAAATTCTAAAGCTGTCAAGAAAGCTATGGCAAACCAGCTGGTGATCCACCTGCAGGAATATGGGAAGAAGTAGTGTAGACAAAACAAGTTACAATTCTCTGTCTCTTTTAATGAAGAGGGAGAAAATCTGTGACAAAGGTACTCAGATAGCGAAGGAGTCCTTAGCGTGTGAACATGGACTGAGCGGTGATACTTTTGCTGGGTGGAAAGTGGATGTTGGTTCTCTGGGTGAGACTCTGGACTGGGAATTGCATCCATTTTCCTGCCCTGGCTCTGCCACAGATTTCCTTGGTGAACTAAGCAAATAGTTAATGGCTTTGGCCTCTGTTTTTCTGTTCACCAAATGGGATTCTGACCCCTTCCTCCCAAGGGTCTGTGAGGTTAAGTAAAAGGATGTTTATAAAGTGAGCTCATATTGTTTTTATGGAAGAGGTGCAGTTTCAACATTTTCAAACAATATTCTCAGCAGAGAAATTAGCTATTATATTTACTTATACAGTGATGCTGTCAAACCGATATGCTTTCTCTCAGTGGTAACATCCCACTGTGGTGGGAGGTTCTGTACAAGTCCTCTTTTTTGGGGTGAGGAGAGAGGCCACTGACACCCCACAAAAGGGAGCCAGCGCTGGCTGCCAAGGGCCACTGATACCCTCCAGCTGTGTGACACCCCTGCGCCAAGCTCCGCTAGTCCGAGCTGCCTCTGGCTGCCGGGACAAGCCGGGATGGTGTCAGCACCTCTTGGGATGAACTCTGCCTTCGGTACATAGGTGAAGGTGTCTGTTCCTCTTATCTCACCCTAAGTGAACCTGGTTGCCCTTGTGTGCATGCTATAGGTGTTACCAAATGCTCTCTCTGTGTACGTATATGCCTTATGAAATGCCTTCAACCTCTCACTTCAACCCTCCTCCTCCCTTATTTTGGAGGATGTAGTTCAGCTGGTCCTTTTCAACCTTTTGTTGATAAGTGTCATTTTTGTGCTGCCTGTTGCTAAGTATTTGGTGCTGCTCAGTCTCACCCTTCCCCCCTCCCCTTTTGGCGGAAAAGGACGCAGCGTATTTCCAGAATATATACTCTAATTCCAGCAATGAGACTACTGTACATCTGGTGCTCTCAGTCTCCCCTGTGCACATTATAGCACGC